AGTTTGAAATGGAAACATGGTCAACAATGAAGAAAAATTTTTACAATAGGTAGTGCTGAACACAGGGATGGTACCTACAAAACCTGGAATTAAAAAAGACAAAAGAGGTACTGCAGGCAGTATAACCCCTCCTAAAATCCCCATCTTACCAGTCTGATCAGCTGGGCTGGGCCAGGCAGTAACACAGAGTCCCTGCGTGTTTTTCCAAGGAGAGCCACCTTAACACTAGCAATTAGCAACAAGCCTTTCAAAGTCAGCAGGGGAAATCCACTGCTGAAATTTTTCAGGTCTGAAGCTGGTTTGTGAGAAGAATCCTCGCTCAGGAATGAGTGCTATGCCAAACGTCATTGCTTAAACAAACTTATCAGCCTCTGAAATGCAAGTCAGCACTGCAGCAAATCCTCACTCTGGAGGGGCCCAAAGCACATCCAGACTGTCAGAGGCCAGGCTTGGATAAGCCTTCAGGTGCAGAGGAGGGAAGGCAAAACCTGATAAGTGCCTATGTCAAAATTAAGTCTGTCACTGTCTTCATTTTATTTCTGGTGAGAACATGAGCTTCTTCCAATGAACAAAGCTGTTCTCAACAATGCACAATCAATGTGACCTGAGCACTGTGTGTATGACCTGGACATATGGACAGACTGGGAACGAGATGCTGGAAATCGGGATCTGGGGTCCTCACTGATGGTGAGCTGAAAATGAGTCAGCAGTGCCCTGGCAGCCAGGAGGGACATCAGTGTCCTGAGGGGCATCAGGCAAAGCTGAGAGAGGGGATTGTCTCGCTCTGCTCCAGGGCGGCCTCCCCTGGAATACTGTGTGCAGTTCTGGGCACTGCAATATAACAAACATCTAAAGCTATTAGAGAGGATTCAAAGGAGGGAAATGAAGATGATGAAGGGTCTGGAGGGGCCATATGAGGAGCAGCTGAAGGCACTTGCCTTGTTCAGCCTGGAGAAGATGAGACTGAGGTCAGACTTCACCATGGTCTGCAGCTCCCTCACGAGGAGCAGCTCAGATCTCTGTTCTCTGTGACCAGTGCCAGGACTGGAGGAAACGGCTGGAGCTGAGTCAGGGGAGGTTTAGGCTGGATGTCAGGAAGAGGTTCTTCCCCCAGAGGGTGACTGGGCATTGGAACAGGCTCCACAGGGCAGCGGTCACCGCCTCAGGGCTGCCAGAGCTCAAGAAGCATTTGGACAATGCTTTCAGGGACATGTTGGGACTGTTGGGGTGTCCTGTGCAGGGCCAGGAGTTGGACTCGATAATCCTTGTGAGTCCCTGCCAACTCAGGATATTCCATGATTCTACACACGCTCACACTGCTGTCGGTACCAGCCCATCTGATGCCAACTGCTCGTGCCCACTGCCTGAGCCTCCACAGGAAGGGAGAGAGCCAGGATAAACCATCATCTTCTCAGGGTAGCAAATGTGCCCTCTCCTATTATTTTGCCTGCCTTTGCTCAGAAAGCCTTCAGACAAATACTCCTGCATTCTGAGTCTATTCAGCTTTTTAATTTTAAAACCCCCAAACTTCTACAATTCATACTAAAAGCCCATCTCAGTCAAAATATGCCGATAGCTCAGGCACAAGATTTACCTCCATCTGCACAAAAGGACCTGCTGTTTGCTCTTGGTAGTCTTGAGATCTGTATTTTTTATAAGGATAATTCTTTAGTATTAAACAGCACATTTGCATAGCTGCAGTGACTGCAAGGACAGCAGATGATTACTCCTGGGGTAACAGGAAAAATGTTAAAGAAAAATAAACACACAGCAAACTTCATGCAGATACAGTGAATTTGTAAAAATAACTACAAAAACAAATATTCACATGTTATGTTTAAGTACCATCCTGCTTTTTCATGTATTACCAACATGGTAACACAGAGAACACAAGCTGGCAAAGCTCTGCACAGCAGGAAAACTACTGTTTTGCTGAAATCTTAGTGAACAGTGATAGAAGGAGGTAACAAAATTCTGAGAAAAAAATTTAAGGGCTGCAGTAAGCTGTTGTATGCTTTAATTTAGAAAGGTCAATGGAATCATTCTCCATTCCCCATGTATAATTTCTCATGGTAGTTGGTAGGCTTGGGAACAGCTCAGTTTTGGTTTTCTGCCTAATAATGCCCATAATCATAAGAAAATCATGTGTTAAGCATGAATGATCAGAGTACCTGGATTTTGTAAACTGTCCCACTCTCAAGTGACACAACCATGCTGGAAATAGCTTTTCGACTCAACAGATATTCCCCTATTCCTTCTCCTCCACCAGCCATTTAAAAAGTAAACTTGGAATCGAATCTTTAAGTGTGTAAATCCCAGAAAATGTATAAAGCAAAATCAAGAAACCGTATGATTAAGGCAGGAAACAACTCAATGTTGTGGTTTAGTGATGTTGAAACAAAAAGTTCTGATGTTGACTAATGATATAAACAAAACCAGCCCTTTTTTCCCTCTCAGGTTGTCACTGTCCTCCAAGGAGATCTTTATTCTTCCTTCAGGAATTCCCAGCAGCTGACATTTCAGGAGTGGAAGCCATGCACTGCTGAGCCTGCTGAGAAGACAGGGCTCTATCTCAGCATCTTTACTGCCAAGATCAAGTATACAACCGAAAACATTATTGAAATGCTTTGAAACCTCTGTTAGTAAAAGGCAAGTGATTCCTCAATGTGAGTTCAGGTAAAGCAATGTCTGTTTAATACAGGGGGAAAAAAGGGAAAATAATATTATTATCACAAGGTGCTGCTGTATTGACCCTGTGTAGTAATAAAGACTTTGAGGATCAACTAGACTCACTATGGCATTAACTCTCAGCTCTTTTTCAAGGCCATGGAGATAAGGAAAGCTCTTCACACCCTGCAGTAAACCACTAATTAAAAAAAAAAAAAGTAGTTTAAGAAGTGCCTATTGTCTCCCTGTAGAGCAGATTCAGCTTGGCACCTTGGTGCTGACACAGCAAACCATCCCCAGCCACTTGCATACCAACAGGCCAAAGTGGATGCAGAGAATTAAAATTTTAAAATAGAAAACCTCTTGTGCAGCTCCCAGGAGGGGCAAACTGCATCCTGTGATTCCCATAAGCAACTTGCACGGATTACTTGGTTTGCATACAAAAAACACCTAATGGAAACCAACAGCAGCATATGGGTACCCAGCTCCTTACCCTTAAAGAATTTTAATGGAATCTCTGTTTATTCTGATTAACTTTTGCTTTGGGGATAATTGAAATTCAGTTTGCAAAGACATTTAAGAAGTATTACTAATGTAAGTTATATACTGCAAGAACTCATAGCTCAGGGACTCAGGTTCAGGGACTAATTGAAATACTGATTTATTTATAGCTCACCGGCTGCCATACATTATCTGGTGAAAATAATTTTCTTTTTTAATTAATTTTTACCCTCGTCTTTAAGAAACACCAATACTTCAGAGCACATAGTTTTGTTCTATCAGTATTCAAATTGCAGACTACATTTTAAGGGGGAACCAGCACAGAATCACAGTCCCTTGGGTTGGAAGGGACTTTAAAGCTCAGCTCATTCGGGCCCCCTGCCCTGGGCAGGGACACCTTCCACCAGACCAGGTTGCTCCAAGCCCTGTCCAACCTGGCCTGGGACACTTCCAGGGGTGGGGCAGCCACAGCTTCTCTGGGCAACCTGTGCCAGGGCCTCACCACCCTCACAGGGAGGAGTTTCTTTCTAACATCCCATCTAACCCTGCCCTCTGTCAGTGAGAAGCCATTCCCCTTCTCCTGTCAGTACGTGCCCTTGTCCAAAGTCCCTCTCCAGCTCTGCTGCAGGTTCCCACGATGGGGACACTGAACACAAAGCAATTCCTTACTGCAGCCTGCATGTGCTTCCCAAAGAGGAACACCCCAAGTGCCCGTGCTACAGCTCAGCTGTTGATGTGGCAGCTTTCTTGCCGATCCAGATACTCCTTTTTAATTAGTCCTTAAGGCAACATTTACAGCATTAAAGTTCCAGCTCCTCAGCAAAGGCAGCGGGATGTTATGACTAGAGCAGCATGTTGTGTGTGTTAATTTACACCCTCCTCACCCCTTTTTCTTGGGGATGTGGCAGGTAACACATGACAGGTCCCAGGAGAAAGAGCACAGTAAAACTTCCCTAAAAAGAAGGTTTCCATGAAGCAAAGCCAGTTTATTGAAACAGTGCAATGCTTCAAAACCCACTCTCTATGGAAAATTAATGTTGTTATAGACCTTAAGCTGCACATTTCCTCTCAGAGACATCCTGCTGCACTCTGCTATTGTCACCACACTATCAGCTTGTGCTCGGGAATTAATCAGGGAAGATACTCAGTTGTAAACAGCAAAATGGAAACAACCACAAAGAGAAAGCACAGCATGCCACTAAAAAAATCAGAAGACAGTTACTTTGTATCTAAGAACAGCAGATGCTGGACAAGCCTTTAGTATTTAAGCCCTGCTCTGCCACAGTTTAGGAATTCATGCTGGGTACATGTTATCCTTCTAGCACTTCACCATGCTCAAGGGTCTTCAGTGCCTCGTACTCTACAGACCCATAAACATGTCCAAATTCAACCTCTGGAGCACCCTGCAGCTTTGCAGCAACACAACACCAAAATAACTGCTCGATGTAGAGAAACTAAACTGCATAAATGTTGCAGTAAGATTTAGAGTTTCCTGATTTTAATCCCTGAAGGAGATGCAGTACTAGCACCAGTCTTTTTCGTAATACCCTTGCCAGTGTGCTTCATGCCCAACTTAAAATAAATTTAGCACTGTCACACGAGTCCAAACTGTACTTTCTGTTGTAAAAACACGTGCATCTGCACCGAAATTACTTTGGTTCTGTAACATCTCATCTGGTTCACCCCTTCTTTGTCTTAAGCGTTGCCCAGAAGGTCCAATTAATACCGTAAAAAACTGTCTCATGAGGGACAGTGACCCCTTAGTACAAAACAGACCTTGAAGAACAGAGGAATGAAACAGTTCAGGGACAAAGATAAATAGAGGAGCTCACCACTGGACTGGCCCGAGCAGAGCTGGCTCTTGAGGATGCCCGAGATCCCGAACCAAGGTAGCAGCTGTACTCGGAAGGCTGCCGCAGGTAAACCAGGAACAGCAAGCAGAGAAAAGAGAAAGGCATTAGAACTGGGAAGAGAAGCAAGAGAGGATGTAGAGCATTACATCTGAAGTTAGTTACGAAAATGGTTTCATGCAGCTGGACAAAGGAATAGCAGTGAAAGAGAGCAGACACCTCAAGTGTTAATTTAAAATTTAAGGTAAGTAGTAAGTCCATTGATGGATCAGGCAGAGTTTTGGTTAAATTATTTGAATGACAGAATACTAATGATTTATTTATATCTCTTAAGGTACCAGTCACAAGTAAACAACCCTCAGTTTCTATACAAAAGGCTCCATCCTACTTTCCAAGAGCTCTGAGGTTCTCTCTGAGGTGAATCTTTTTCCCATGTTTCCAACATTGTGCACATATAAAATGAATCCATGTTCCACAGGCCAAAGCAAGAAATATCCATCCATCTGGGATTAAAGCAAAAACTGAGACCATCTCAGAGACTGAGTATCTCTCCTGCTTTTCCAGCATCTGCAGTCTTCATCTCCTGCCAAAGAAAGTCTTAGCCCTTCTTAAAAGCAAACATCTAAGCAGTGATGCACAACACACAGGGCTGGCTTGTTGCTGACAAGCACAAAGAATGTGTCTATACTGTTTTATTTCCAGAGGTTATAATGCAATGGAAGTAGAGAAGGGAAATTAAAGTTTAAAGTGCCAGAGAAATAAAACTAAAACTTATTCTAGAAACACCGAGTTTATTTTATAGGTGATTAAGACTTTTCCTCAGATACAAAAATGGAGAAACCTAAGGAATTATAATACTTTTAAGATGCATATACTCTGTCTTTTCTTAAGGTTTCTTTTATTATGTTACCTGACCACTACAGGAATCTCTGGACTTCTCAGCTGCAGAGACAACCAGGCCTTCACCAAGCTACTGGAGGGCTGTTTCAGCACACTGTTTAGTCACACTAACAAAGCAGCACAGCACTGACTGGAAATTAAACTTACAGCACTAATAAGTGGTAAGAGAGTAAGCTGGAAATAACCCCAGCTAGAATACAACCACAAGCTTAGTTACTAACCACAAAGCACTATGTGCAAGGTATACAGCCCTTAGCAAGCCCTCAGGCAGGGCAGAACGTGGCCAAGCCATGTCCTCGGATACACTCAGAGGGAGGCCCTGGCACAGGTTGCCCAGAGAAGCTGTGGCTGCCCCACCCCTGTTCAAGGTCAGGCTGGACAGGGCTTGGAGCAACCTGGTCTTGTAGAAAGTGTCCCTGCCCATGGCAGGGGGTGGAACGAGATGATCTTTAAGGTCCCTTCCAACCCAAACCATTCTGGGATTTTATGTCTCACATGACATGACATTGGCTTTGTGCACCTGAGCTTCATTTCAGAGGTGAGAATATGCATAATATAGAACTCTGTTGCACACTGTTTACAATTACTGTCAGTCACACTAATTCCTAAATTAAAGACATAAAGTACTGAAGTAAAAATTTATATTCTCTTTTCTTATTAAGCAGTTTGAGCACAGAAGCCTTGGCCATCACCAGTGGTTTATGTTTAACCTAAGAAGGGTTTAGAATAAATTTGAAACACGTGACAGAAAAAAAGTATTAATTACTGATGAGTCCAACATTAATGCTTCCAGGGCCTATTTATTCTGTGCATTGCAGGGCAGGGTATGGAAGCAAGTGCACTTGTTCAGCTGGTTGAGACCAAACAGGGCCAGGTTCAGCCTCACCCCCTGCATTCACCTGACCATCCAAAAACATTCTTTGGGAACAGCTACCCAAATGGCACTCTCTCTACATGTTAAAAGTACTGCAAGGTTCAGAGACATCAAAATAACCACAGATAACCTGGCAATTGTGACAAGGTCATTGCCTTGGAAGCAAATCCCTCCTCCTTCAACTCTCTCATTACAACAGGCAACCATTCAACAGGAGTTGGAAAAGCTGGGTTACACACAGGCTTCCTGTGGCACAGGGTGGGATTGGGATGGAGGAAGGGGAATGACCACCAGAGTTTTATTGAGTGTTCCCTGCTCAAGCCATTGACAGCAGGTGAAAGATTTGTAAACAGTTCCTGGGCTGAGAGCCCGCTGTAAATGATTTTTCCCCAGAGCAGCAGTGCATCATCTGGACCTCCGAGGGACTAATTACAAACGTAAGACAACATTCCATAAAAACACAGGGCTACAGCCAGCTCAGCCTCAGTGGCAAACTCACTGAACTGCAGGCTGCTGCCACAACACTGCAAAAGGGTCAGTATCAATGAATTTTCCGAGGCAGACAAAGGAAATCAAGGCAGAATTGTGAAATAAAAAGCAATTTGAAGCTTAACATCAGTAGGAAGATGCACAGCACAACTAATGAAACAATGGGACTGCAAGAGGATGGCGCAGCCCTTTAAAGACTAACAGGTGCTCAGTGAGCATTCTGGAAAGAGTTTCCTCCTCCAGGCTAATAAAAATGCAGTGTTTAAGGTTAAATTAACATCAATGCTTTGTCCTGAGTCTTTTTACTCTTACGGTCTTAGATGGTGGATTTTTGTTTGCTGGGGTCTTTTTGGTTGGTTGGGGTCTTTTTTATAATCAATGGGCCCCCAGGGCAGGACTTAAAAATCAAAAGAATACTGGCTTTTATTTTTTTCCCAGGTGGGCACAAGAGCAGCAGCCATACCACCTGGCTCGAATGCCCACCATGACACAAAGGCCCTCTGAGAAGAGGTGAAGGCATTTTCTGCCTTCTAATCTGTAAACCAAGTCCTGCAGTTTCTGTTTTCTGAAAGGAAACAACTTATACTGTTATTCCCCATATTGTTGCTCCCCATCAATGACAGAGCTCTCCGCTCTCAGGAACATGTAATTTGGAAGACTTGTCATGAGTTGGCATGTATATGAATATAAAATATATTTGAATACAAATCCAAGCAAGCCATTTGTTCACAAAAATCCTTTGCTTCACGCTAGCATAGGATTGCTAATGTGGAACTGATTTTTAACTTTTTTTGTTAATTATTTTTTAGACTTGCATTTTTCTCAGTTTTCCAAAGAAGAATTAAGTCTCAGCGAGGGACAGGACTTCACGTACCACCTTTCCAAGGTGTTTTATCTGCAAACCAAGTGCGAAGCAGGGCCAAATTCCCCTCTCTGCAGATAAACCACCCACTTTTTATTTCATGGAATCTCCTGGAAACGGTGCTCCTACTTATGACACCCGCAGCAGCAAGCTCTGGATCTCACACAGTTCATCTTAAATGCTCCTCAACCCAGAAAAGGCTGAGTCCTGGTACATACAGATAAAGGGAGGACAGAGACACACAGCAGGGAAATGCAGAAAACATCTTACAGCACGAGAACTAGGGGCACTATACCGACGGCTCCCGCTGTAAACGCTCTCCTCGTACACAGACGCCTACAATTAAAACACAGAGTCAGCGCAGGAGTGGCAGGTCACGGTTCAGGCTGCACAATTCCAAACTCACACGGTGCGGCGCGGAGGACGTGAGGGAACGAGCAGGATGTGAGAGGACTGGGACATCTCCTGTGTGCAACCACAAGCGACATGCAAGGGAAGGTCTAACCTGGGAAACACCACGAGGCACGTGCAGAGTGTGACACACACCCCGAGTCCATCGCACATCGTGCACTTCTAACCCTTCTCCCGGGGGTTAAGGTCAACACTCAATTCAATGCAACAGTTTTACTGCCTGTCAACAAAACGGCTACATCAATTCTTAAATTGTTTCAATCTGTTAAACCTTCATTTCTGGCGCTGGCAATAAGAGGAAAAACTCACACCTGATGAGCTTAACTCACTAGCCAGTTTAGTAAACTAATAAAAGAGGAAGAAAACGTGTATTTTAAGATTGGCTCCAGTTTAGCATAGAGATACATGGCTCAGGAAACACAAGGGGAGTAGAAACACTAAGCTTTGAGAAAAAGTTCTGAGAAGCTCATTTTAAATAAAAATGGTGCTATTTGTCTAAAACAATTTGCAAACAGATTTTTTTTTTTTAGTTGTTAAACAACCAGAAAGAATTGATGTTGCCTCTGTCCTGCTCCTGCTCATACATGGAAACTAAGACAACCGTCTCCAGACAGACAGATACCCGTGACAGCATCACAACCCCACAGTTCCAACAGGATTTAAAGGAATGATCAGCAAACCCAGGCCTGTACGAACGGCATTGCACACATGCAGTCGGATGGATCGGACATCACAGAATGAGATAAATGGACCCAAACAGGAACCACAGACAGGTAAGAGACAACATGTGCATGGCTGGAGGTGAGTGGCTTCAGAACTTGTGTTTAAAGCATTAGTACAACAAACCCTGTGACTTCTGGCTGGCAGGGCATCGCTGTACAGCAGGGAGGGCTGAGGAAGACAAGCACAAAACTTTTTTTTGCAGAGAAAATTGAAACAAAAAAAAAAGGCGCCTACAGCAGAATTAATCATCTTGGGGAGAAATTAGGATCATTACACTACAACAGAAGGAAACCCAGTATAGAGAATATTAGTCATCTGGCACCATAAAAGCATTAGCTCTCAGCTCCCAAAGACTAAGAATACCAAGTAGACACGTGCATTTCCTACAGGAAGGGAGGACATGGCAGCATGCAAAAGCAAAACAGCGTAATTCAATTTTAGGTTGTCAAGTTGTTATTGTCTCACACACATTTGTGTACAGGAGCCAGAAAGGGTGTTTCTCCCCACTTCAACCAAAGCCAGAGAAAAAGCTACACAGAAGGGTTAGGATACACATTTTAAGTGTTTCACACAGATATAAGATCAACTGTTGTGTATTTTATTATCCACAAATGCAGAGAAAATCCAAATAGTTCAGGAAAAAATTACAAATACTTAAGTCAGAGCATGAAACAAGTGGTTCCACTGTTAGTAACCACAACTCCTGAGATGCAGCAGCTAAACTCAGAGCACGCGCGGTATCTGGCAGAATTAGGTGCAAGGGAAACTCCAGCAGTGGTCCCCAGCCCAAAGCTTGCAGGCAAGGTCCTGCTGCAAGTCCCCCCTCCCGCACATCTGCAGTGTCCCATCACTGCACTGTGATGTTCCTGACTGCTGCTCCCAGCCAGGACAGGCTGTGGGCCCGGAGCACTGCTCGAGCACTGCTTGCTGGCACGGGGCTGGCCGAGCTCTGCCCACACACGGGACAATCCAACCTCCTGGGGATTTTACAGACTCAGTGATTCTCCTCTAGCAGTCTGGGAATTGCTTCCCTGCAATTTCACTTCATGCAGACTGGATTGTCTTAAGCTCACTAGACTGACATAATGAGCAGAAGAGTTGCCTCAAATAGAGAACTTCAGTTAATTAAGATTTCCCTTATTTTTACAGACCAACTAAAGCCAATATCAGTCAAAGTAACTGTAGGAAAGGGAGGAGCAGCAAAGGAAAACTGATTGTGCTCCTTTTAAAGCAGCTTTCCATTACTCATTCCAATCTTAAAAGGTCTGGTTTGGCTTTGGTTTGGGTTTGTTTTTTTTAAGTTTTACTTAAAAGAGCTACAGAGTCTCTTGACAATTGGTCCAAATTGATTCCTAAGTACAAGAGGTTGTATTATCCAAATGAAGTCAGGACAAGTCCAGGCCAGGTGAAGCCAGAGGGCAACAGACCCAATTTCCATTTTGAGAAGAAAGTTGAGATGTGGAAGCGTAGCCGCTGTTGTGCAGACCCAGATCAGAGTAGTACGAAGCCTGTGTTAATAACAAACAAACAAAAAATCCTTGAGAACTCGGCTTCGTAACATGAAGCAGAGTTCTCAATTCCTTTAAATGGGAAGCAAAAAGTAAATCAAGTGATTACAAACTGCAAGGAGTCAAATTGGTCACGGGTTCCAAAATGAGAGAGAACTGCATTAAAGCTGTGAGGGTGTGTGAGAACTGTGTGCCCTCTTAGGCACTGGAAAAATGCACTGGTCAGAGAGTTGGTCAGCTTCCTTCCGAGTTCCTGAGGAGCTTATGCCCTATAACCTACACCCACAAGAGATGCAGGAGAAGGTGAGATGCTGGGAGATAGAAAGCAAAGCCAGGGACCTAAACTGTTGGGTGTGCCCAGCAGGAAATGTGGGTAGCCCACTGTCAGATACAGCAAGGCTGAGTGAAGTGGAAACTCTTCTGTAGGAAGTGAGACTGTCTAAATCAAACACCTTATTTAAATTAAACCCCTTCTTTTATGCAGCTTCCTACCTTGCATCCAGCCAACCCGGGACTTTGGTCCACCTACTCTGTCTCCCCAAAATTAGGGAGATCTTAATTCAACTCCAAGTTAAACACTTAAACTCCAGTGGACTTAAAAAATCACCCTCACCCTCTGAAATCCTTGTTTGTCCAGTATGATATAAAACATCTGCATGCATTCCCCAGCACCTGTATAGAGTGTCAGCTCAGGTCAGCTCATCCACTGCCAGGTGTTATCTGTGAGAACTTACGCTGTGCAAACACCTCAACACAAGCACGTGGGGCTTGTCAGGGAGGCTGACAGCAGTAGGGTATTTATAACAGAATGCAACTCAGTATTTTGGCTTCCCAAAAGCTTTAGGAGAAGCCCCTGTGGATATGTTATGTGTCTAAATAGAACACGCAACAAGACTTTGTGAAAAACTTAAGCTGTTATAAACAGTTGCTTTTAATTTGCAGGAATATTAAATTTGCAAGTCCAGGTCTTTCGAATGCAGGTTGGAAATGCACATATAAGACATTATGCATTTTACAGAGCCACAGGAATCAGGAGAATACAGGCATAATAGGAAGTATACTTTGCATTTTCCTTATTTTCAGAAAAAAGAGCAGCCTAAAAACACATCTGAGATGTGCTAAGGAAGTTTCTGTGCTGTACCAGGGCCAGCTGCACCTGGAGCCAAGTTGCGGGGAATAAAGCTCACCAGGAAGGGGTGCTCAGGGGTGAGCACACGCTGCAGCACGAAGGGACGGGCAGGAAATGCTGCCTCCTCACATCCCCACCCACCCGAAATGACTCGGGTGCTCACTCAGTCTCCTGCAAGAAGTTGCAAAGGTATTTTCAAAGCCTCCCAGGCACTGTTTATATTTCTTATTTTCCCACGGGTGTGTGCAGGCTGGTGGGAACGGTTGTTCTGGAAGATCTCACACCTTCACCTCCTTTGCTACACTCCAGAGCCCTCCTTTTCCAGCTGCTCTCTGACATTGCACTTCTCCCGTAATTTTTTAGGGGGTCTAGGCAACCGAGATACTCTGCTTTCAGTAGCCAACTTCTTACAAGCCCTAACTCATCTTTGCCTCATCACTATGATCCATGTAGGTGTTAAGTCCATTCACAAAGGAGGGAGATCCATGGCAAATTAAAATAACTTGTTTGCCCTTGACACCGGACTTCTGTCACTGCAAGCAAACAGATGTGTGGATGAGACACAATACCCACAGGCACAGACTGAAGGCAAATCACTGTCCAGCCTCAGAAAGAAACAACACAAAAACAACCAACCCACAGATGAAAACCTTCCAATCAATGTTTGTAAAATAAGACTTTCACTGAAAAGAAACCTGAACTAAACTAAGCTTTAAGAAATTACTTTCATTTCCACATAGAGAGCCTGCATGTGGACTACCTAAACTAATGGCATTAATCACATTTAAGGAATCAACCTGCGGCACTACAAATGCAGTGTTCACATGGAGATCAGTCTGTTCTGTAACTTAGAACTGGGCACCTATTTTGGAAACAACTATTACCAGGAGATCGTCCCTTTCCTGGCGACTTGAAGAATTTTCCTCTTGTTTTTCACTGTCACTTTGACATCTTTATGGTTAGATTTGGGCTTCTTGGAGAGAGGTGAATCCTAGCCAGACTGGCATCAACTGGGTTTCAGCTATTCTGAGTTACCCTCGAACTTTCCTCTGCCTCCTAAGAAATGATTAATCCGAATTACCTTTAGTAATGAAAACTGCCAGGAACTAATGATGTCGTTGTAATGAAGCTCTACACAGACTAAACCTCCCTACTTACTGCAAACCCTAATATCATGATGATTTTAAATTACTTGAAGGGAAGCCAAACAACTCCTTTTCCCGGGACGACAATCCTGCAGGTCTTTTGCTCTCCCTGCAGTCCTTGGAGCACTGGAGTACGTCAGTAAAGAATAAGAACATCATTTGTCACAAGCACTGCGTAACAAAGCTCCTTGAACTCGTCAAACTGTCCAGCGAGAGTGCCAACAACAGGACATGCTGTTTTGTTAACAGTTTAAGCAACAGTATTTCATTGTCTCTTATCAACATACACAAGCTAAATGCATAAAACTAGATGGCAGCAACAATTTAAAATGGACATGAAATATAAGGTCCCGTTTCACTGTTTATCCAAGCATCTGCTTAACTTCATGCTTACAAAGTAACCCCCTGAACTCTATCTCATGTTTAAGCATATATTGCTCAAACACTTGGCTAAATGGAGTCTGAAAAGGAGTTTATTCTCCCCCCAGAAACAGAGCTTTAGTCTGCATACCACTAAATTTCTTTACAAGTACCGATAGCACAAAGATCACCAGGCTCTGAGCTTTTGTGTGGCCTTGTTAAAATAAAGGCAAGTAAAAGAACCCAAACAGTTTCCCTCCCTGCCCCCCAGGCTCTGCTTCAGGCAGTCCCTTTAAATCATTTGCACAAACCCCAATATTTAACAAAGGAGGACGATGAGCTGCTATAATTGACACGCAACACTTGTGCTGGAACAGAAGGGAACATTGTGACCCGCAAATGCACAATGGAGTTAATAATTAAGCTTTTTTTTGACAAGAGCATGTTTGACAAAGTTGAATAACAATCATTCTGTTGTCCAGCATGTGGAAATCCTCCATGCCAGGTGCTGCCAATCTATTTCTTGTCACAATTTTAACTTTTACCCAATTTTGCTTACCAGTTAAGCAGTTCTGCCTTCCAAGTTCTACTTGTACCAAATTCAGAGACTTCCCTTCCCACTCATGGCCTGATTTTTTGTTATTTATTTCCCATCCAGCTTAGTGCTGCACCTCCGTGTCTGACAAACTCCAAACCCACAACATGCAACACAGGAAAAGCCTGCTTTGCCACAGGAAAGAATTTGCTAATTAGCTTTAATCCCATTAAATAGAGCAATATCATTTTATAGCAATATAAATCATCTACTAACCCTGCTAGATTTTCTACTCTGGGATGATCCATACACGTCTTCCTCATAACCATTGGTCTGTTATGGAAGGAAAGGAAAAAAGGAAAGAAAAAAAAGGAGAGACAAAAATTGACGCAGACCCAAAAGGGAATTTTTAAGCAAATGTCATCACTTACAACAAGCAAAGGCAGAGACAGAACTTTTCAAAGATACACCAGGAACAGGAGAAGTGCAGGAGGGGGTCATGATTTCAAACATGAGGACATGAACATTTGTGTCAGTACCTGTATACCAGCCAAAAATGTCAAGGATACAAGGATACTCCTGCCTGCTTTTTTTGACTCTTTTTTTTTTTGCCTCCCCCATCATCACTGCTCTATAGCCCCCATCTCTTCAAACACTCTGTGAGGGGAACACAGGACAAAAAGGGGATTAGAGACTACAGTCAAAGATATATATCACTATAGTTACTTATACCTCAGGCAGCTAAGCAGTTAAAATGCAGGAAATTGCAGCAAAAGACTTCATTCTAAATTTATATTTGAGAAATTCAGCCTAGTAAGCATGCACTGATGTATGAATTCTCTTCTTTTTAGCTCTTCTTTTTAATTTTGAGCATCAAAATTAAACCCAGGCAATGGCCATCTGCCACATCCCAGTATTTTGCATGGCAGTCCAAAGGCTAATAAGAGATTTGGGTTGGCTCAGCTGTCCTCCTCATGGCCAGCCTTGTTGTCATCGAGCTGTTTTCCCTTGGAGAAGGCAAAAACAAGCTCAAGCAGGGTGAGATGCTTCAAATCCCTATGGCAGCAGCTCCAGGAATAAAACAAAACGATCACCACAACTCAGTTTTTAGTCTGGAAATGCAATGTTGAAGAAGAGAGTACAGACCCAAAAGTGACCTCAATCAATACCATTAAAAGCTCAAGTTTCTCCAGCAATTCACTGTTCTGGCATCACCTCACAATGAGCAGCCCTGGTTTAACACTGAAAATGAGGAAGCACTCTGTGTGTTTGAGGTGGGGGTTTTAGTGGAAATTTAATTAGCATTTCTATTCAAATGAAGTTCTGAAGTCCAAGTTTTAATACACTCCTGAAATGAAAATCCATTAAAACCAATCTGATTCAATTTCCAAGCAAAATATTTATCATCTACTATACAGCGGCTTCCATGAAAAACTAAACAAATTAACTTGGAAATCAGTTTAGAGTCAAGCTGGGAATACACTTCTGGGAAAAGAAACGCTTAGATTCTCTATTGAAATGCAGTATTATCACCCCAAATGGAGGGCAAACATCCAAGTTTCTTTTCTCAAGAAGAAATGGTTTGAAGTACTTCTAAAGCCTTCTCACACAGCTTGGCTCCTTTCCAGTTTTTACTAGCTTTTCTTTTTTAAGGCTCCTTGAATTTCTCTAACACTTCCCTGAAGAATGGTTAAAATGGATCTTCAGCAACTGAAGGCAATACTCCAGCTCAGCCTCAACAGCACCGTGCAGAACTATTACTTCCACCACTCCTTTTATTACTACACTGAGGAATTAAGTTTGCTTTTTTCAGCTGTGTAATACTGACTAAATGAAACCTCAGATCACTATCTGGACCGTCCTATTACTTTGTAATAGTAACTTCTTTTTTTCCCAGGTGTGGTATTCCTCATTTATTAGTACTGTTATTTACTTTTGACAAGTTGTCTCCTATTCATCATCAATATTTTCAGTCTAACCTCACATGAAACTGCCTTCACTCCCTGCACTTTGACAGCCAGGCAACAGAGACTCCTGCAGAACTGCTTTTCCCCTTTAAAAAAACAAAACAGATATGCTCTTAGATGGGAACAGACCAGTTGAGATCCTTTCCAGCTGTCTCATTTTCTAACAGTTATTTTTCATTCCTTTTACAAGAGTACATTCCTTTGACAAGGACTAGATCTGGCCCAAGGTTTCACTTAATGTCATGTACAGACATGCCAAGAGCCTTATAGTCAAGCTATAGTAACATCTCATGCTTCTCCTTTATGCCCTTAAATAATTACCCTGCTTAGGGAAGTTAAGTTGATTTGACATAATTAATTTTCTACAAATCCAGGTTAATTTTTTTATCACTTTATAGTTCAGGCCCTTCTAAAGGAATTTGTTTCATTTGCCCTGGTGTCTTTCAGATTTCAGACTGAAACCCCATAGCTCAGGTCATTTCCCTTGCTGCTATGACCCATCCTCTCCAGAAACGTCTCCAGTGCATATTTTTGAAGACAAATGCTCCAGACAGCTCTGGAAGAGCAGGGTCAGTTTTATCAGACCTTGTTGACCTTTGTTCTCTGCTATGTTAACACACTAAACATCCAACCCTAACCCTCATGAAAACCTTAACAAATAAAATTGCATACTAGGGAGGCCAAAAGTACTCAGATTTACTTGTTCTCCCTTCACGTGCCATTGACTCTCATTCCTCTCTGTTTTTCACAGACGCAGAAAACCACCTTATTGCCATTATATCCATTTCTACTTGTAATGTTTTTTACCTCAGACTGTGGTTCACGCTGCTCCTTCAGGCTTTCTCAATCCCACATCCAACTTCTGCTCCTCAGAGAACTCTCTGCTCATTTCCAGTGTACTGAAAAACCCCAACCCAGCCTGGCAACCTCTTCCTGTAATGAGGAGCCTTCCCCCCACAGCCCTACACCACTCTGCCCTCTCTTGTGTACCCTTTTCTGCCCTAGAATTGCTCCCCATAAAATCTTCACTGTGTGAAAGCACATTATCCTTTATCCTCCCTCCAGACCCACTTTTGTGGTGCTCTAAGTAATGCCCTATTTGTACAGGTGCTAGTAAGGCACCCATACATCGGGAACTGTAGTGACAGGATAAGGAATAATGGGTTCAGACTGAAAAAGGGGAAATTTAGGCTAGATATATGGAAGAAACTCCTCCCTGTGAGGGTGGTGAGGCCCTGGCACAGGTTGCCCAGAGAAGCTGTGGCTGCCCCACCCCTGGAAGTGTCCCAGGCCAGGTTGGACAGGGCTTGGAGCAACTTGGTCTGGTGGAAGGTGTCCCTGCCCATGGCAGGCAAGTGAAACAAAATAATCTTTAATGCCCCTTCCAAACCAAACCATTCTGTGATTCTATTATAGGCTCTCAATATTGCTGTGTAATAATAAAGTTCAACTTAGGTAGCTCAAGTTAGGTTTTGAGTTTTGCCACATGTCCTTTATGTACAACACTGACATAAGGGTTTGGATTATTCCATATTATGCACATGAACTGATGGTCACTATTTGTGCAGACCCAACAAATCCTGACAGTTACACCATATCCTTGACACTGGGCTGGTGAGCTCTCGAACATACTCTTTGTCTATCACAGTGGGTTTGTATGTAAAAAAACCTCTCTGAGGCAGTTAGTCAAGATACATACTGCTTTGGAGTAGTTCTTCTTTTTGGTCCTCTCATTCTCTAATCCAGCCTGCAGTGAGATTAAGAATGCAGGATGAGAAGATCAATGAGTTTATGCACACCCATCCGCAGCCAGGCATGCACGTCCACATGCAGAAACATCAGTCCAGTTCTCCTCCAGCTCTACACAACACAGCTCAGTGAGCACAAAGGGAAAAAAATCAAATCTCGGAGTCAAACGCCCAGTTATTAGAGAATATTGTTAAAAGTGATGATAGTGCTGTTAAATTTAGTAGCCACAGTTAAAACCATTCACGCTTGCTGGGTTAAGTCAATTAAAAGAGCTACCAGCTGTCCATACTTACTACATCAATACATCCATGCAAAATCCAAATGTGTTGGAACTATTGCTGTATGTAGGTCACGAACAAATAGATACATTGCATTCCTAATTGAAAATAGTGCCAGGAATGAAGCAGAGTGAAAACCCTAGAGAATCTATAAAACTGCGGACACTGAGCACCTCTACTTCAACACAGTGCTGCCACGAGGCATCAGGAAATATTTTAAACTGAGATTAAAATTCCAATCCTCACTGTCCCTTTCTGTTCTTCCAAGACTCAACTTTACTTCAGCATTCACAGGAGGAAATACTTGTTCTCCTTGTATTATTATTAGTTTGATTTTGTTCCCCAAAGTGAAGGTAACAGCTCCACACAAGCTGCAGCTTTGGTAGGCAGTGTGTTTGTCCCATCACCTTTGCTAGATCTACTCAGAACGAGTTTATAAGATCCTTTCCAGATCTATGCTGAAATAAATCCAGATGCATCGGGCCAAACGATGGACAGACTGTAACAGAGACAGTCTGTCAGGGGAAATAAAGGCCATTCTGCTCTGTCCTATGGCAACTACTGAACTAGACCTGGATCAGACCTCTAATCACTTGTCGCTCTTCGTCTGAACTGCGTCAGAGCAGTAGGACAGGGAAGTGGCATCTTCATATCACACACCACAAACTGTCTCAGGATCCTTCCAGATCCTTATCTCAGATAAGTTATCACAACTTGTGTTAGTTTCTTCTTCATTATTAGTTTTTAAACACACACACTGCAGAGCTTGCAGACTATTCTCACCACTGGGTAGGTGCTGGCATATTCCAAATGAGACTGTAAAGGCATGAGAGGAAAGGAAAATCAGAATACAAAGGAAAACACTCAAGCAAGTTATGGCAATCAAAAGAATTCCCCAAACCAAACACACAGACACAAAAATAGGCACAGAGATGTAAATCCCAACTAAAGAACTTTGATAATGCAGGAATTCTTGCACAAAGGCACAAGGAGGAACGTGGCAGCAAACAAAACGTGGAAGATGCACAGATTACATCACAAGTGATTACTACCACAACAGTATTTCATGCTGATGGTCTTGGATTCTATTTAGAGATAGCCATCTGAGAAGTGGGAGAACTAGGACGACTGAAATAGAAAAGAGACTGAAGAGATGCTCAACAAACACAGGGTGATGTTACTGAGCTTTCCTAGAAAAATCTGCACGATAAAGAATTGAGCTTGCAGAACTCCTGAAACAGATTCTGTTGATGGGTTCAGGATGAGCAACAGAAAAGCTGTTGCAGAAGCCCCTTGGTGGCAGCTGATGAGACACACACATACCCAAGCCAGCATTCTATTGGCACCTCAGGTCACTGTTTACAGCACAGTCACAGCTGTGGAGCTTCAATTTGCTGGCCTGGTCTGATCAACATCTCCAGTGGTTTTGCAGGACGTAGCACTGGCTGCTCTGCCAGAAGCATCCAGGCCAGCTCCCCAAAAGCTACCTCAGCAGATCTCTGGTGCCTGCAATCCAGACATCCACTTAAAAAAACATGCCAGGAAAAAACCCCAGAGTAAAACCCGCACAGATTAGTAGGGTGGTAAAGTTTTAGGGAGAAATGAATGTCCAATATTGGCTCATTTCAGTGAAAACTTCCTGTACGGAAGAGTAGCACGGGTTCAAAAAGCAACCTCTAGCACCATCAGACCCTCACAGTAGTGCAAGGAGTCTGAGTGACAAAATGCAAGATCAATTTTCCAAAAATGCAAGTCCTACAAAACAATGACAATGACATCCTGCAACAATGGAAGGAGAGCCTTCAAATATCAAAAAAACTAGCCTCATTCAGAATTCTCAGACTCATTTTATAAACCCTTGTGGACACAAGGCAATAGTTTTTGGTTTTGTCTTCAAGTTAAAATAGCTCCAAAGCCAAACTGAACTCTAATATTCAGAGGTAATTTTTTAGGTTGGTCATTGTTCATGGTTTCTTTACTTTGTTGTTTTGAAGACAGGCATAGCAAGAGCCAAACCTTCACAGATTAGCCAGAGATGGGGTCAAACTATTAAAAACATCTACTGTAAGCCCACACCAGGAAAGTGATCTTATAAACAGAGAGACTGTTTATAAGAGCATGGAGTGACAGGACAAGGGAGAATGGATTCAAACTGGAAGAGAGTAGGTTTAGATTGGGAACAAATTCTTCCCTGTGAGGGTGGTGAGGCCCTGGCACAGGTTGCCCAGAGAAGCTGTGGCTGCCCCATCCTTGGAAGTGTTCAAGGCCAGGTTGGATGGGGCTTGGAGCAACCTGGGCTAGTGGAAGGTGTCCCTGCCCATGGCAGGGGGTGGAACAGGGCAAGCTTTAAGGTCCCTCCAACCCAAACTGTTCTATAATTATATGTTCTATTGATTAATTGTGAATAAAACAACTGGAGGATGTAGAAGGGTAAGTTTCGGTTCAGACTAGCAAACATTTACATGCTTCTATAATCCCAGTGACACTTGCAGGAGGGAAGGAAGCTCTGTCAAAACTTTTCCTGTGTCTAAGAACACCCACTGAACTCTGCTCTACGAGGACAGGAGGGAGTCTGTGCAACATCACAAGAAATACCAGAGTGGAAAGTTTCAACCAGATCCTTCTGTCAGAGAAACACATTCTTTGCAGAAGTATGAAGAATTTAGGGACCATCCAGTGGACCAGCTGGAGACTGCTGTTCACCAGACCAGCAGTGGTTATCACAGCCTGAAGGCATGTGAGCAGCCCAGAGGCTGGCTGCTCTAGGAAAAATGGTTGGAAAAGCTTCTCCAACGCATGGTGGGGAGGCAGAATGCAAGGCTTCTGCCATTTACTTATCTAAAAAACACAGGACTATGTTACAAAAACACCTCAAAAGCAATCAGTGGTGGATTTCCATGAACAAAAGGTGTTTCAGATGAAGATGTGCTATAAGCACAGAGCCAGCCGTGCTTGCATTGTGCCACACTAAGGGACACACTTATAGTAATGGTTAAACAACCCATTTCTGTTGTCAACACCTTCTAAACAGAAAAAACTGATATTTCAACTGAACTAGAGATTTTTTTTCCCTCTAAAAAAACCACTTTCATGAACATGTTGACATTTAACTCTAAGTAAAATAAACATTTCTTTTCCTGTTCAGCTGTGAAGAGAAGCTTTTCTTAACGGAATCTTTGGAGCTTTGAGGCATCTTCTAGCTTTGAAAAGCACTCAAATAAGTTTGCAGTCTTGAAGAACAAAGATTTTAACAGCATTTCAAAAGTAGCAATAAGGATTTCAATAAAAAGGGAACAAGGCAACACTAAGTATTTTTAAGTGTACCTTGAGCTATTGTGAACAATATTTGGGATCACCGAACCGGCTCTGCAGTAGCAATTTTTATTTATTTATTTATTTGTTTATTTTTAAATGAGTCCTCTAAACTCTACACTAGACCAGACTAAAGGCTTATATACACATGTATTACCTGGGAAAACACTTTCTGGATATTTTGAGGAAAAAAAAACATTTGAACTTTTCCTAGAGATGAGTATTCTGTGCTTTACTTTTCTCCCTGCAGAAAACTTAAGCCTGCAAATGAACTTCAAGTATCTCTAAAGCATTTTTAAGGAGAGTAACCAGTGACAGGACCCTAGGAAATGTCATGGAGCTGTCTCAGGGGAGGCTTAGGCTGGATATCAGGAAAAGGTTCTTCCCCCAGAGGGTGGTGGGGCACTGAACAGGCTCCCCAGGGCAGTGGGCACGGCCCCAAGGCTGCCAGAGCTCGAGGAGCGTTTAGACAACACTCTGAGGCACATGGTAGGATTGTTGGGGTGTCCTGTGCAGGGCCAGGAGCTGGACTTGGATGATCCTTGTGGGTCCCTTCCAACTCAGGATATTCCATGATTCTACAGGTATTCACCTACAATTCCAAAGTGCTTAAGACTTATTTCCACTGATTATTTTCTTCTGGTTTCCTGAGCTAATAAACACTGATCCTGCAGTAAGCTAGCACTTCCTTTTCAGTATCAGTAATGAAACAGGGGAGCTTACAAGGTGCATACAAGAAATAGCTGCCTATACCAATGTCTTGGCTAAGTACTTCCTGCAACAGCAAACAGCATTTACCACAAAGGTTCCTGCACAGGAATTCCTGCTCCTGCACACACATCTGACAGTTCCCCCGGCTGAAAGAATTATTGATCCACGTGTTACTCGAAAAAAAACAACACAGAACACGTCAAGACCTTGGAAGGACGATACTATGAGAGTACTACAACCAGTCTGGGGTGCAGGGAGACAGAGACATCCATACACACACACACACACACAGAAATTGTACAGTTTACCAACCCTCAGGCTTCCACGGCTACCCACTGACATGCGCTCATCTTCATCCGAAGCCTATCGAGAGAAGAGTATAAAGACAAAAAAAAAACAATGAAAAGAACACAAGTAACGGGCAGTGAGGCAAATGTTGATGGCTTTGATGGGACAGAAGGCAGGAAAAGACGTACAAAATAAATGTATTTTAAAAGAACTGCATTAAAACTATAAGCAGAAAGTAAATTAAATCACACTCTGCCCAAGAAACACTGTCAAGCATTTTACTACAGCTTGCTTGGGTGTTCCCTGCTCTAAGCTCTTGGCCCTTGGTCTGAATAAATGAATGTTAAACACTCCAAGCAGGTTATTTCCCCACCTCCCCCCTCCTTTTTTCTTGAACATTTGCAAAAACTCCCTGAAGTGTCTGGGGAGAGAGCAGAGAAGTCAGGAAGTGGCTTTGGGGTTTTCACTTGCCTGAGGTGGGGGGAGCTTTTTTTGGTTTAGAGTTTTTTTTTAAGAAGGAAGTTCCTTATACTTGTGTCTTTTCTTAATTTGAAATGTCTAGCTAAACAGAAAAAGCAAAAGTAGATACTAACCGAGGCATATCTTCGGGCTCTACGGGAATAACGCTCACTGTCTTCCTACCAAGGCAGCAGAGAGAAAACAGAGGGAAGTGTTGAGAGGACAGACACTCCAACACAGCGTTCCAGAAACACACAGTGAACTTCAGCCACGCTTGGGAGTCAGCGAGGTTAAACCAAATAAACGGAAGGTGACACCCTGTCAAACTAGAAAATCCCTCTCTCCCTCCTTTGTGACCCCAACTTTCTTACCCTCCGTTTTACTCTGCTACACACTGTTATTACTTGTGCAGAAAACTTCGAGCAACAACGCCTTATTTCTATCTCAAAAATGTTTCAAGTGCATCTCTTCGCATGTGGCACCGGTAATACTTACAGGGCTTGTGTAATTAAGTTTCCCGGTCCTTCAAAATAAACCTCAAAAATCTTTCATCTGAAATAACGTGGCAGGGCCATGGTCTCTCCCTGTTGAGTATCCTGGAGGGGCACAGCCTGGCCCCTTCTTCCAGACTGAAAGCAGCTGTGCTCTGCTTACAGCCTCTGTGACGCTGCAAATACTGTCAGATGTAATACATCTCAATATACTGGTTTGAACAAATTGATTTTCCATGGAATTTAGAAACAGTGATAGAAAACAGGAAAAAAAACCTTTCACCATTATAGTCAACAGTTCTCACAGGTTGAACGGACTTTCAAGCAAGGGAATTGCCAGTAAGGTGGAGCTAAGCTCATCCAGCAAGGATTTGAGGAGACTCAATGGCTTATTTGTGAGACTGGAGCACCTTGGTGGATAGGTGGTCCCTGCAAACAAGTATTTACACGGATTTATTATCGAGGGTCAAGAGTTTTGAGGAGTTTGTGAGGTTATCTTCCACAGTGGAAGCCAGTTGTTTGGTTTTGCCTTTTCCAGTGTGCTTGTAGGGCAAGACCATGCACTAGAGTTTTCATCTGGCATCACTGGAAAGTGATTTCATAAATGTAGGGTTGAAAGACATTTGAAGCCAATGACTTCCAGCCTGTTAGTAACTTCTTTATCTTATATTACAGGTGTTAAAACACTCAGATGTTGCTAGTGGCCAAGTCTGTAGCGGGTATCAACTTCACTGGCTTTGGCAAATTGTAAAATCCAGGACACTGTATTACCAGAAAAAGCAAACGTTGCCACCGTAGCAGTAATAATTCCTCTGAAGGATACCCCTGGGCCACTAAGTGCCAAGGTAACTGAGGCAGCACAGATAAAGCATGCCCACAATTTACCTGTGAAGGCAGATTTAAGAAGACTCAAATGGTAACAAAACCCACAAGAAGTAAAATGAGTATGGATATTCCTTGTATCTCAAGGGGCTTTAAAAGGTCTTTATTCTAACCTAACCTTCGAGCAATAGAGTGGAGACAGAGGTCTGTTAAAAAAGATGGTTCTAACCCAGCCCTTGCCAGTTTTAAGCTGATTAAAAGCCACCTTTCAGGTGGAAATGCAAGACTGCAGGAATGCTTGTGGTACGAGTGGAATTCACATCTCCAACACAAGAAAATACCTGCTTTGTGGGATTTCAAACTCTGTGAACTACACAAAACTTCAACACATAAAAGCTGTTGAGCTACGTTGATCAAGTCCTACCATCCATTGCTCGATGTCTCCCCACTTAGTATCCAGACCATAATATTTCTACAGACAGAAAAGGGAAAAAAACAGAATTTAGATGAGAAAAGCAAACACAGAACATTTAGACATGCATTGCCAGGTCTTGGCCAAGCCACACACACACAGACATGCCAGGAAGAGCCGTGCCAAGGGGCACCGGAACCCTCCACAGCACATGCCCAGGAAAAGCTGCCTGGTAAGAGGAAAGGGGTTTTTGGGGTACAGCTGGGATACTTGACAGCTTCTTCTCTCTCAGCAGTGCAGAAATCCCAGTGCTGGGGGACAGGAGTAAGGAGTGTAATGAGTCTTGAATTCCTGACCCATTTAAGTCAAGAGTCATTACAAGGGAGGTGAATGCAGGACACTTCCAGGATGAAAAATGCTGTCAAATCATGTTTCCCATACAGATTTGTCAAACTGGGCAGACAAGCTGAATACAAACACATCTCTGTGCACTCTGATTCGCTGTATTCAGAGCTGCCCAGAGCTCCATTCAGAGCATGAGGCTTTTTGCCTACACTTCAGCCATCTGACAGTGGTGGGAGCACCAACAAGGATAGAAGAGGACAAGCTCCACCAATGCAGGCAAGGCTGGAAAGCTCCCTGCCTTTCAGTTCCAAATGCCATGAATTTTCTTAATAGACTGTCTTGTCTGAACCGCTTCTCAGCTTGTAATTTCTTTGCACAACATTGGGAAGTTCCCAATGAATTTGAATTTCCACCAGGCAGCAAACTGTTCAAAGATACAGGGGTTTAATGGGACTTTTCTTCCTCCCCAAACAAGCATGTCAACTCTGGTCTCAGGAAGTTTGCATTTTTAATGGGGACCATAAGGTTCCTGTGTGAAGAAAAAATCACTGGCCTAAAGCACAGCAACAGCCAAATGGAAATCCTGCTTAAGGAAGCATAATATGTCTTTTAGAGCTTTCCTACTGGCTTGAGGAGGGAAGAGTATCAACAGTTGAAACCTTAGGAAATGATAAAAGAAAATCAGAAACATGTTCTGTACTTCACTCTGGTTTTACCACTCGCTCAATGGTATTAACGTAATTTTGCTTTCACCCTTAAAAACCTCATTCACTAGTTATTAATAAACTAGAACCAATAGCAGCTGGACTACAGTTCAATACTTTATCAGTTTACTTCCAGTTCAGAGTTCTTTCTCTTCAAACAACAAAATTATTTTCATGTTAAAGTATTCTTCATTTTACTTTATTCTTAACAGCTCTGGAGAGAGCAAAATAGGTAGTGAGGTGCTCAGTTATGCATCCTGGATAGTCTGAACTGTTCAATGACCTACCTTTAAATGCTGCCAATTTTGAGGTCAAACTGGGAAAAGGCAGGAGCTCAGAACAATCCCAGTTATTCGGAATAATGTTAGAAAATAAGTTTTTAGGCCAGTAATTTGAAAACAGAAAATTAATTCACTGCATGGCAGAGTTGAGTAGTATGTCAACATCTCTCTGGAACAAGGAAAAGAAACAACAGTTCAATAACCTCTCTAACCACTTCCCTATGGGAACAGGGAAGTATTCCCCTCTGCTTTACCTGCAAAGCATCTCATTGTGTGTTCAAGAATATCCCATTCCCTACACAATGCCTAGCCAAATTACACACAAGTGAAACTTCCCCCTTGAACTACAGGAAATCAGAGGGCACAATATGAATAGTTTCTTCAAGCATTGCACACTTCTCACAAGGGCTCAGACTTGTTACTTCCAGGCAAAAGCAAAACCCATACAACAGAGCGTTATAAAATTAACTTTTATGTACATCACAGCCTGAAAATGACCCCTGAAAATTCTATGAGCTCCAGCTGGTCAGGGCTGTGTACATGATGAGAATCTACAGATTATATGGTTTGCAGTAAAGCAGGTGAGGTAAAGCCTTATTAGAGGTTTTTCAGCCATTAAGAGACACCAATTTAAAAAAAGACTATTAAAATGGAGAATCCTTTCTCACACACAGAAAGGATCCATAAACACACTAGTAATTTCTGAAAGGTCTGCTGCTCCTTCTTCCTGCCTTCTGTTCTCATTTTCTGACACTGGCTTCTGAATTCAGCATTGCAGAAGGCAGATAAGGAAACACCCCTCATAAGACTTGCTGTGTCACAATTTAAGTTCCACTTACAGGCTTTTCCTCCTCCATTTCAAATTACACAGCTACATGCTTAATATCCCCTAAAGAAAAATCTTAATGAATGCAACTGCCTTGAGACTATTTTTAATTTATTATCTTTTAAACAGCACATGTCATATGGGACTGAACTGGCAGCTTTTGAAGTCTCAAGTATTTTGACCCCTCAGCCCCTTCCTGTTTCTTTCTCTGCACTGACTCTTCTGTTCTGTCCCCAGGGGCCTGATTCGAATGGGTTAAAGGAAGAAATGGTGCTTAGCCATTCACTTAGGTTTCAGTCAGAGGCCCTTGCCGGACTCAAGTTCCCTTCTACCCTGAAAAGTGATATTACAATTAAATAATTAATGACGTTAATACCATTGAGAGAGAATTCCAGATGCGATTTGCTCACTAAGTGACAGCGAAAACTGCCAGGCTTGCAAACTCACTACGGGATGTTGGGAGGATAACCCATTTATCTTCTCATCCATGTCAGGACACCAACAGTAAACAACCTCCTGGGCTCCCACAGGGCTGCATTTGCACCAGAAGGTTAAATTAGTTCCCATAAAGGAGATTAATAACGAGCCTGTTGATCCATGGGCAGACGTTGAGTCACTCACTACGCAGTCAACTCCAGAAATAAAACCAAGAGTAAGATAGATTTGTTGCTCAATCGATGGGGTCAGGGTTAAATACCAGAGCACATGATTTGAGCAGCTCTCTTCATATACATATGCCCTCAAAGAGGAGAACAGCACTTTCGAGAAGCACATGCACTGCTAGGTCAAGCTTTGAAACATGCAGTTAGGGCAGCTGGAGTGCCAGAACAAAACCAAACACGCCGTGGTTTTAGGACACATTCATCACTCAGCAAGCAATCAAAATATCTCAGGAAACAAAAAGGAAATATTCAATAAAGGAGAAAATGGCAGGCTTGAAGAAATATGTGCTTTCTCCCTCCCTGCAAATCCTCTTTGGAGCTATTTCTGTTTCTAGGTACCACACAGTTCACATGCTGGAAGTGTAGAACAGCCAAACATCATAACACAAACTCCAAAATCTCTGTTGCTACATAGCAAGTGACCTCAGAGCTACTATTATCATCATCATCTCAGCCACCATCATGAAAAGGAAACTGAGAGGAAGGAAGAGATCACGACTTTAAACTGAGGTGAGAGAGGATTAAATAATGTAAAAGCACTTATAAGACTTAGGTGCCATTGGAAGGAAGGTCATATGGTTTATTTACCAAAAGATTATGAATTCAAACACAGCATCGCTGATTTCCTTCAGTGACTTTCTGCAAACAAAGTCATCTGAAAGTCATTCTTCCTGCTGGCACCTGTTAAATGCTTGCCCAGCCTGAAATACTTCCAGGGATACTCTTGGCCTTTGGCACACAAATGTCTGTGTGGTTCTTGGTCACACATGGAGCCACCCTACCCTCCTATGACCCTGCTTTGCCAAGTCACTCTTCTGCTTATTGATTATTCTTTGGTCAAACAGGCTGTAGAAAAAAATCATATTAAGTGCCTGACCAGACGTTTTCCAAGGGTCATCTTCCCCCCGCTCCCCTTTATTATCCATACAAGATTAAGGGAGGGAAGGAATTGTATGGAAAGTTACAGCCTGCTGTGCATCTCCCATGTTTTAGAGGATTTTCTAGGTTGGACTCAATGATCTTGGAGGTCTTTTCCAACCTAAACGATTCTGAAATTCTAGCACGACTCACAACACAGGAACGCATGCAAACAAGAACGAAAGCGAGCAAGCCCTACCTTCTGGACTTGATAGATCTGAGGGAAAAGGGAAAGGAAAGAAACAAGGAACAAAGCTAAGCATGAATGGATACATAGCAATGCAACATTCCACAGCTCGTTCTAGAGGGAAAAAACGTAATTTATACAGAAAATACAGCAAAACATGAACACAAAGAAGAGCACATTGAAGTCCTGTAGATTTAGGTAGAACGAAAGCAGCGTTTGCATTGTAGGCCTGCTCCATGCACCCAGCTAGAACACGGCATTCCTGTTTTCATTCCCACCAGGCCCTTAGAGGCACACAGGACATTTGCTCCCTAGGCTTTGCACCAGGCCAGAGCCCAACCCAGCTGTGAGCCAGGTCCTCTCATTTTCCCAGCCTCCTCCATCACAGGAATGAATGCCCAAATATTCAGCCGGGACGACAGCCGTGCATCTACCACCAAAATAAGAGCAAACAGCTTCAAAGAAGAACAGTTTGTATTTAAAGGACAAAATTTTTTCCTTAAGGGATGAAGCACAGTTAGAAAAGCACCAACCCTACACACCTTCCACCTATGTACAGCACAGTCAGTGTGTTAAAGCTGCTGGAAAATTCCTTGCAAATACACTGCCAGCACTAGAGGATCTCTGCAGGTTGCTTTTTCAATTTTTAATGCTTCCATGGAGCCTCACGTTGTTTTCAGGCCTTAATAAATACACTGCTGACTCTGTTGCTCGATAGTCTTGGAGCACTTTGGTAATGCACAAAAGCATAACAGTTACTTACTGCATCTGAATTTTGAGTAAGTGGAGAACTGCCCTTGACTGATCAGCTTTGTGAACCCACATGAAAACGGACAACGTGTTTTTTCTTTAATCTTTGCTAAAGCCAGAAACCCTTCTGGGTTCAAAAACCCCAAAGAACTCTTCTTCTTCAAAACCACCTAGCTGGCTACACAAATCCAGAAGGAAGCTGAAGCTTCATTCTCCCCGCTTTCCTGTTGAACACCAAGCTCTGAATTTTCAGGAAACGTGTCCCAGCTCTGGTCTGAGAGTCCTCAGCTGCCTCACTGCTGATCTTCTGAGACAAGCAGAGACACGGAGTAAACACCAACACCAGCCCGCTGCTCTAGGGGGGAGGGAACATACACTGCTCTGACTCCAATACTCCAGTGGGTCAGCAGACAGCAGGGTACTCAGTCTCCTGTATTTTGGGGTATTCAGAGGATCTCTGCCATCCAGGTATTCAGAGGATCCCTGCCACCCACTGCTCTCTGAGAAATCCACCTCAGAGATATCCAGATCCCGGCCCTGGGGAAGCTGAACGTACATTTTTCAATCCCCGCCCTCCTGATCAGGTTCCCCTCCACGAAGGACAAGTGCAGAACCCAGCTTAATACCTCAGCAGCATTAATTCCCATTCCGACAAGCGCAGGGGGGATAATTAGGACCCACATTTAAAACCACCATTCCCACACAAATTCACTACCTCGCTTACCTTCTCCTAAGAAAGCCCTGAAGAAGAAAATTAACTAGATTCTTCCACAGTTCCCAAGGTTGCACACAATTCCAGTCTCTGGCTTTTCCATGGCACACACAGGGTGCCTTTTGTCCATACACAGAAGCCAAACACAACAGGTTAATTGTTGCAATTACCCTGCGGCTGTTTAACCTTTAGGCTTTAACTTTTCAGTGCTGTTTTTTCACCCATGCTTTCAGGCAACACCACGGAAGTCTTTATTTTTGAAACCCCAGTGCTTCAGGCTTGGCACAGAAGGTATTCCCACTGAGCCCAAAGCAAGACACGCAAGGAGTCTTGTGCCCGGGACCCTGATTGCCAAGAGACAAGATAACAACGAGGCCCTTTGTTCAGACCAGGCACCATGGAAGGAGGTGGAGAAGGGCACAGGGATAAAGCCAAGTGCATCATCATAACTGTTTCAGTGTTTTATAAAACCTGGAATTCTGAATGCTAACAGGCATTACAACAGCTCTCCTCCAAAGTGACTGATCCCTCGGCAGTGCCCTAGTGGGAGGTGTCCCTGCCCACGGCAGGGGGGTTGAAACTAGATGATTTTTGAGGTCCTTTCCAACCCAAACCACTTGAGGATTCTGTGATGATACTGTCCTCCTTAGATGGTATGTTACAGGAGGAAGCACACTTTTAAACAATAATTCCTATTGCGGGTGTGCCCCTCACAAAAGCTTAAGAGTCAACAGACACCTAAGCAGTGAAATTTGTTAAACAGCACTTTCCTGTATTAGGGTATGACAAAAAAACCCAAACGTGTTTTGTCCACAGTATTAGTGGCAGACTGCTTTCCTGGTTTTCCCATCACAGGAGTTTTTCCACAAAAATAACATATTTCATAGAAATATCTTTAAAACAGGACAGAACAAGCCAGTGATGCATTGTTAGATGGTGGCAGAAGTCCAGAGTCTAGGAAAAACACCTTCAACATTGTCCCTTTCCAAATTTTCCTGTGCATCTTCACGCTGGCTTTGTAAGACAGGCACAGATTAACCTTCTTCATTTCTTCCCTAGATACGGAAGCACCGAGTTTCATAGTCTGTCTCACCCTTCCCATTCAAGCCACAAAAATTCTGCTTTTCTCTAGCTTTTCTTTTCTACTAGAAAGTATTGGTGGCATACTTTATTCTAAAGAAATACAAATCCAAAGAAGGAAAAGTGAGTGTGCTTTTAAAGAAGGAATTTACAAAATAGCCAAGGCAAGTTTTGTGCTGTGCCCTTAAAGCAAGAGCTGAAAATGAAGGCAGGAGACCAGCACAGTGCACTTGCCTTGAACTGGAGGGCTCATCTAATGTGCAAACTGACAAGGAAGAATCTTATCCAGCCGATTAAGGAGTGGGAGGAGATCACTGTCTTTTAACTTCAGGCATTAATATCAGCTTAAACTGTGGTCTCCAAGTGTCAGTCCTCAAAGAGACATTTAAAGCCTTGGCAGCAGAGCACACAGAAAGTACTCCTACAGAAAACATTCTCTACAATTAGCCCTAATGTTGCAGCTGTTACGTGTCTTGAAACATTCCTATTAAATATTGTTTGGGGAAAAAAGGCTTTAATACATCTTATGTCAAGCTTCAAGAGAAAAAGGGAAAAAAAATGCACAGGAAAAAAATTATTCTTTCCATTTTACCTGGTAGCCCCATGACAATTAACAACTTGTTACTCAGAAAAACTGAGCTGAAAACTCCTGACTTGTTCTTCTGCGTGAATTAACAATAAATATCTGAGCGTACACAGGCATTTGTCTCAGGACCAAGCACAAGTACAAGCCAAAGGGACTGGCCTCAGACTCTGCAGCTGGAAACCAAATGTTTAAAGGCCCTGGCAGCATGGTATGGTAAAAGATGACCCATCACTGCTCTGACTCCCACCAGCTGGGGGGCATCAGCGGTGTGGAAACAGGGAAGGGAGCAAGTACCGTCTATTGTAATTGTCCTTTCAGCTCAGAACACACATGGGCAACGAGAGCTCTCCTGCACTGACTTACTATGTGTGGAAGCAAACCAGCAAACCTGTCCAAACCTCCAGATTAATTATTTACATCTTTGGTGAATAACAACAATGAAGCAGCACCGAATGAGAACTCAGAAACATTCAAGCTGTTCCACTTGTTAGATCTGTGCCTTTCCTAAAGCCTTATCACCAAGAACACATTCTCTACTAAATATATAAATTTATTCACATATATGTGACTCAAGAGTGATCACTACCCTTGTCTTCATGAGAAAGCCAACCCATGTCCTGGGCTCATCCCACAGTGTGGGCAGCAGGGGAGGGTGGGATTCTGGCCCTTTGCCCTGCTCAGGTGAGACCCCACCTGCAGAGCTGCCTCCAGCTCTGGAAGCCCCAGCACAGGAAGGACATGGAGCTGTTGGAGCGAGTCCAGAGAAGGCACCAAGATGATCAGAGGGATGGAGCACCTCTCCTATTGGGAAAGGCTGAGAGAATTGGGACTGTTCAGCCAGGAGAAGAGAAGCTCCAGAGTGACCTAATTGCAGCCTTCCAGGAGCTGAAGGGGCCTACAGGAAAAAGAGAGAGAGACTATCTACCAGGGCCTGGAGATACAGGACAAGGGGGAATGGCTTCAAATTCACAGAGAGTAGGTTTAGATTAGATATTAGGAGGAAATTCTTCCCTGTGAGGGTGGTGAGGCCCTGGCACAGGTTGCCCAGAGAAGCTGTGGCTGCCCCATCCCTGGAAGTGTTCAAGGTCAGGTTGGACGGGGCTTGGAGCAACCTGGTCTAGTGGAAGGTGTCCATGGCAGAGGGCTGGAACAAGATGAGCTTTCAGGTCGCTTCCAACCCAAACCATTCTGTGATCAGATCATGACTCTTGTGCTCATTTTCTTTCTTCAGCTTCAGAAAACACTTTTCATCTACCTAGTTCACACTTTACTATAAACTCGTGCTTGTGTTCTCCTCACTTTCCTCTCCCCAGAGAAGAAAAACCCAAAAACACAAACCACTGGCACGCTTATCCTTCCTTCTGCTGCCCAGCATGAGGTGGTGCCAGGTGATGCCATGGTGGGACACACCTGCAATCCTGCCCCACCACAGCGACCGGCTGCAGCCTTCCACCAGAACTTTTCCCACATCTCCCCCTGCAATCAAGTGTTTTCTGCCAAAAGCCCATCTATTTCTGCTACATAATTTCTCCATCATGTGTGTAGACTTGTGATGCAAAAGTCACCCGGTTATTTTAAAATGAGGAAAATGAAGCACAAGATAAAGAAATGTCATTAATACTAGTTGGTGGGCAAGAAAGGAGCCAATTTTCAAATCCAAATTATTAAAACACTCTGCTTCTTTGCCAGCGAGGGCTATACTGCCATGGTTATAGCCTGTAATGGTAGCACCTGGAAACTTTTAAACCAGACTAGCAATATAAATATATTTTCAAGTAATCCACGCTCCACAAGAAAGCCTGCCAGGGCATGTACAGTGCTTTAAGCATGAACAAGTACACGCACATGCAATAAATTTATTTATTGCTTCTTAACTGCCACAGCTGGCTCTAAAAACCCTTCTGAAGTAGTAAAGCAAGTGCTTTAAGTTCTGGTTATTTAACGTGGCAGTAGTGGAAAAGCGCTCTTTATGTCTTGAAAAGTTTGCAAAGGGAAATGAGGATGGCAGAGAATAAGCTGTACAGACACCAGTGTCACAGCAGGTTCCCCATCAAGGAAGGTGTAGGTGCCAAATCTCTTGTGTTGATCACTGCTTGAGATTTTCTGTATGTTTTACTATATCTGCAGGATACCTGTGGTAAGGAAAAACTTCCTCCAGTCAATCCTAACTAGATCTACCTGGCATCTGGGGGCTGAGATTAAGCTATTTTGGCAAGTTACAGAATCTCTGGGCTTGCAAAATACAAAATGAATGTGTAATCATATTATGTCATTTATGCCAGTGAATTACAAAGCAGATTGCAGTGGGTATCTGGCTGAGCTTTTACTGAATGTGGTATTTCAGAGGGACATCCTGTCCTATTCAATTTCTATCTCTATGAAATTTGTCACAGATTTTCAGATCACAAGCTCCTCAGTTATTAACTGCAGGAGCATGTACACAAGCTTCAGCTTTCATACCAAAATTTCAGTTTACCAGGACACCCTTTGCAGCATCAGCTTTTAATCTTCAAAGGGGTCATCAGCTCCACTGAAGTTATCTGTAAATTAGACGGTGTCAGCTGCCGTGACTCTGGTATTTACCTTCTTGCCCAAACAAAACACCTGATGCTTGTTTACCACAAGCCCTCCCACAGGCTGCCTGGCAAGTCCCACCAGACCGTCAGCAGCTTGGCAGTGCCAACACTTAGACCTTCTGACCGTGAGACAGGTCGCAAAAAACATCCTTTAGAAAGCAGCAACTGCAGCAGGAAAAGGCTTCTCTCTTCCATGAGCTCTGTGTCTGCAGCAAGGCTCCCCCACAGCTCTCACTGCTGCTGTGTTTGCAGGTACATCAAACCCTGCTGTGGCTACAGGGTGCTGAGACACATCCAGACACGTATGAGACACTCCAAAAGCCGAGTGTGGGCAAACTGCCCAAGCGCTTCTTTTGCGGGCTGGTTGCTGCAGCCTGCACTGACACCCTGACACGGGTCTGCCATCACACCCTCATCCATATCCTGCTATCACATCCTGATTCGCTGCTTAAAAGCTCCACTGAATCCTTCTCTGCGCCCTGCAGCACAGAGGTAGAATCACTGAATTACAGAATTGCCTGGGTTGGAAGGGACCTTAAAAATCATCCCTTTCCACCCCCCTGCAGGAACACCTTCCACTGTCCCAGGTTGCTCCAAGCCCTGTCTTGGACACTTCCAGGGATAGGGCAGCCACAGCTTCTCTGGGCAACCAGTGGCAGAGCCTCACCACCCTCACAGGGAAGAATTTCTTCCTAATATCTAACCTATTCCCTTTCACTGTAAAGCCATTCTCCCTTGTCCTGTCACTACATGCTCTTGTACATTTGTTCTTACTATGTATTCCCACACCCTGACCCCAGACTCCTTACTACTTCCTTTTCCCTCAAAAATCTATTGAAAAAATTAAATTGTTATTACTGTTGGCCTTGTAATGCCTACTCTGCTGTTTCACTGAATCAACATCAGCAAATACAGATTTTAAGCCCTTTTGGTTCAGTTCACCTGGGCCAACCCCTGCTTGCAGGGGTTCCAGTAGCACCAGTTAATCTTCTAGAGCTCCTAAACAAATGCTGCTCCCAGTTTCTTGTAGCAGTGACACTGAGTACAGCTCCTACTTGTCAAACACAGCAGGAGCAGAACAAGCTCTCTGGTCTTAAGATCATTCCTACGCTGGAAGCCCATGACCTCCCACATGCTGACAGGCAGAGGTACAGAAACTCTGCTGGTGGTATAAAACAACCAGCTCTTCCTGAATTAGGGAGAGACTACAGCAGGCATTTAATCCAAATTCTGTGGAGAAGGTAATGCTTTGCCAAGTTCAGTTTCTGTCGCTGCTCCTGCCAACAGCAGACCATCCTTTTTAAAAAGTGGGGGAGAGCCCAATATCAGCTTCACAGCAGAAAGCAGAACAATTTACAATAGAGTTATACAAGGGCCAGGAATCTTCCATATTCATTAGATTTCTAACAAAGTGATAGGAATCCACCACCCCCAATGCACACACAAAGAAGCTGCACACTTCGAAGTTTAATATTAAACACTAATTACTAACCACGAGAATTTTCTGTGAATAATTACACTGGCTTCACCAAGATAAAATCCTTGCCACGATCCATATTTTTTCCAGGCTGTTCTACGATTAACATTAGTTCCACGCAGACTACATGTGTTTCCACAGAATATAGATTAACCCTCTCTTCCAGAATCTCTGATGATCTTCTTCCCTGCGTATAAGTCCAAACACCCCCCGGAGCCTTGACCTTACCTCCTTCTGCTGTCTCTCCAGTTCTTTCATTCGGATCTCCCGTGCCTCTGCCCGCGCCGCTCGCTTCGCCGCGAGCCTTGCTTCAGCCTGCAAACGGGAACACGGGAATGAAATGAAAGCTGGACAATCCAACGTGAAACACACCTGTTAAGCAGGGCATGAAATAAGGAGACTTGACTCGGCAAGACTGTAAACACATCCGTAGGAGTTAATTCCCTATTGCAAGTAATGGCCCTGCCTTCTGTAACTTGTTATCTTCACATTCAGCTAATACACCCCCGCGCAGGCACAACCCTCGTTAGCACTTGTGTTTAAAAGTGCTCTGTGTCTCTTTAATTACTGTTTGTGTGGCTGGGAAGCAAACAGGGAGATTTACTTAAGAAAGGCGGGTTTTGCTCTTTTCGTTTTGGATGGGGGTTTTTTCCCTCCCCTGCGGTGTTGGATTATTTTTTATTGATGAATTAATTTGACTGGCAGCAAACACATCGTGTGCCGTTTTTCCTCACCGCTGACACTGCGCACACATACCTGGGCACAGGGGTTGGGTAAACACTGCCGTTCAGCATGACTGTGCACAGCTAAGGCTGAAGTGGATAGAGGGTAGGGAACCTGAGAAAATGCACTAACTCAACTGTAAGTCTCCAGAACTCCGTATTCCAGTCCCAACCTCTCTGGAGTGGAATTCTGCCAGGAACAGGCCTTTAGGGAGTGCTTCCTCACTTCAGCCCTGTTGGAAGTGCTGGAACATGCTACATATCGCAGTAACATTTTTAATATTCTGCTTTAAATCCCAGGCAAAGGCAGTGGGTCTTACAGAGAAAAACATGAAATAATTTCAGGCTTGGTACAATACAACTGTGAGCAGCTCGCCCAGCGGAATTCAGAATAGCTCAGCAGGAGTCAAAGGCATCACTCAGCCAGTCACCCTGGTGTTACACCCAACTCCTCTGCTTATGAAACTTTCCACTGTAAGTACAGCATCCAAATTTACAGGAAAAAGTGCAATAATATCAAGGTCAAGCACACAGAGAAATCAAAATGCTGATGTTTTCACCAGTGCTTCTAAATAGAAGGGAAACCAGAAAAAAAGGAAGGTGTAATTTCTTCTCCTTTCTGTAAGTGTATTCACCACTCAAGCTTGGGGAAAAGGGCCTTCAAAAACACAAAACAAAACACAGAAAGAAAGCAAAAAACTGCCTTGTAGGTCGGCTGGAACTTGCAACTAATAGAAAAGAGCTAATGAAAACCAAGCACGAGCAGTGTATGGGAGGACTAGGAGCCTTGTGATGCTGTACATCTTAAAACCTCAGCCTGGAGAAGAGAAGACCAAGAGGTGATCTCATCAGTCCATACAAATATCTCCAAGGTGGGTGTCAAGAGGATGGTGCCAGACTCTTTTCAGGTGTACCCAGCAACAGGAAGAGGAGCAACAGCCATAAACTAAACCACAGGAAGGTCCACCTTAACATGAGGATGAAATTCTTTCCATGGAGGGTGGCAGAGCACAGGAACAGGCTGCCCAGGGAGATCGTGGAGTCTCCCTCTCTGGATACATTCCAAACCCACCTGGACACATTCCTGTGTGCTCCAGGTGACACTGCCTTGGCAGGGGAGTTGGACTGAATGATCTCCAGAGGTCCATTCCATCTCCAACTATCCTGTGATTCTGTGAACTTCAGTCTGAAAAATTATTTGTAATAACAAAAAACCCACTCATCCTCTTGGAGAGTAAAAAAAAAAGCTCATGGCAGAAAGACAGACAGACTGGTTTTGCACAGAGCGCTGCTCTCCCTCGAGTTCACCACTTGAATTTTGAGGTAACCGGCTCTGCCATGGACAGAAACTCCCATCTCCACATCTGCACCCAAAACCACCCCCTCTCATCATCCGTTACTTATGGAGCCAGGTGATGGCAGGCTCCAGGGTGCAGGCACGTATTCCCAGGAGTGTTTTCAACAGCACTTCCCAACCTGAAGCAGTTTGTCAAAAAAAAAAACAAAAAACAAACGAAGAAAAAACACCCCAACCCTGCTGCTAGGCAAATCCTAGGCGGAATCCCTGCCAGGCAGTGTTATGATCCACCTGCAGTGTTTGAATTTATGACACCCACTATGTAAACATGCCCCGAGATGTATGCTAAAGGTAAGAAACCACTGCTCTACAAACAAGTATGATATCAACTTGAGGAGATTCCTTTCTGTTTATTTAAAAATAAACTGTAGCACTTGCAGATCCCACCTGATATAGGTGAAGAATAACGTCCAAGCAAACTGTTTTTCCCTCATGGAAAATAAAGGGCCCCAAAGTCTCCATAAGCAAAATACACCAAACAGTACAGACTGTGTATGTCAAACTTCCCCCGTGACAGAAAGAGGCGGAAACAAGATTATTTTTATGTTAACATTACTGTAGGTCTCATCCTCATGAATTTCAATAACCAGCTGAGCTTTCACATTAGAATTGGATGCCTTCACATAAAATTCAGATGTTGTACTACAGTGTATTTCCTCTTGCTTTCCTTATATCATAAGGGCAAAAGGATTTGCACAATACCTAGCTATGTTGCAGAATTATATGTTTTACAGAAGCACAATATAATATGAAATGAAACAACTTGAAAAATAGGAATAAAAATTAAAAATTTAGCCAGTTGTTCTCAGGCCTCCCTGAGAATGAGGCTCACAGTTCCCTGATTACTGATACTAACTGCAGTAAGTTAAATTAATTTTACTTTGTGCAACACTGCACATGTAACCTGTCATTTAGTAGGATGCATTTCAGTTTTAAGTGCCAATCCATGGGGCATATCTAATTAATTCTATTTCACCCATGCAGTCCTCCACCTGTTAATTCAGAGCCAATCTGCAAACCTTGTAAGAAGAAAAACACATTTTCACTTAGCATCTTTGACTAACAATGGCTTATGTCTTGGAACAAGCATATTGTTTATTTATGAACTTTGTCTTTCCATGACCACATGGCTCTTCAGCATTAAGTATCTCTGAACACAAACAACACAAACTGTATTCTGGATTCTTGAACTTTAAGTTAAAAATCTGCTGTTAGCACATACTGGTACCGCCTTTGTAAGAAGTTAAATTGTTACTCCACCCTGAACACTAATATTTTAAGGCAATTCATTTTTATCATGTCAAAACAAATATTTATAGAATTGTTTGGGCTGGAAGGAACCTCCGGAGGTCTCCACTCCACCCTCCTGCTCAAAGCAGGGTCAGCATCAAACTCACATCAGTTGCTTTGCCCAGTTGGCTCCTGAAAACCTCCAGGTTTGGTGGCTCCACGGCCCCTCCAGGCTCCTGTCTCAATGCCTGACCATCCTCACAGTGAATAAATCCCCCACATACATCATGTCAGAACTGCTCTTGGCTCCCTGGTAACCCCAGGTTGTATGTCAGAAGGCTACTGTGCCTTAAGGTCTGGTGTTCTGCATCAAAGTGACCTGGGCTGCTACATTTTTAAACATGTTCTCAAGGGTGTCTGGGTGCCATTTAGATGGTTACACAATTCTCACCGTGGTTCCTGACAAAACACCAGCTCATTTGTGCTGGACAAAGGCGGTTTTGTAAGAAACAGGCCATCCTTTCCTAAAGGGTTTTTGAGTCCACAGCAAAATGAGAGAACGAGTGACAAGAAATACGCAAGAAGAAAAGAAAGACTTCAGTATCTGAGGTTCTGCAGGTGTTCTCCAACTCAACAGAAATGTTTTATGGTATACTCAGACTGGTCATTAAATGATCAACCTGTGACCTTCATAATCCTGTTTCTAGCATGCTTTGGTGGATGGAATTACTATACTCTGTTGGTGGCATTAGTGACAAACCTGGCATCAGTTGTGAGCTCAGAGGAAGTAAATCCATCAGGGCAGGGATGAGTCCACACACTGTGCACAACGTTATCAAAATCAAACCAAAGTCTGGGAGCATCCTAACATCCAGCAAATTCTGCAGCAAGTGTGGGTGGCAAACAGGACCTCTTAGGCACAGGTTTTCCTGTGCCAAAGCACAGCTCAGGTACAGACAGGTGTAGGTACCCCACCAAAACACAACCTCCATGGCCACCCCCACCTGCTCATTCACAGCCAATCTGCAAACCTTTAAGACCTGTAAGAATAAAAGCACCAACTTTTAGACTAAGACAAAAGAGTGTCAGATTTATTATGGACCTCTCCCTCAAACACAGGGGTGTGATGAAACTCATCCGAGTTTGTCAAACCACACTCTTTGAAACTCTTGGACTCTGCTCTGTGCTATAAATACCTTGATACCTTGCACGCCCTGCAAACAGCAATGTTAACTTTACATTTCTCTCTGTGCTGACCAAACCAAAACAGGCTTTGCCTGGCTGACTTTGGCCTTCATCCAGTCCAAGTGCTCATCAGAGCCACTACCTGTAAGGGCAGTAGCAGAGACAGACACCACAGCCTGCAAGAGACGCTGCTGAACATTATAAAACCACCCCAAAATTCACACAGACTTCTGAAATTCACACTACAAAAGCTAAAACGAAAGTCTTTAGGTTGCCTAAGGCATAAATAACTAAGGGATTCAAGTAAAAAAAACCTAAAAATCACTAAGATTCAAGGAAGTGATCTTAAAATCATCTAAAATTCACTAGTGACTCAGCAAGCAATACAGGCCTCAATCAAAAGTGACAGATCACTGGCAAAACCAGAAGAATAAAAATATGAAGCCTAATTGCACTCATCACAAAGCTTTTGCAACTTCCCTTTTATGAGGTATTGCTCATCTGACAAGAAGAACTGGCAGCTTCAGCCTTACTGAGCATGTCACACAAAAAAACACCTCCTAAGAGGCTTCCGTAAAGCCCCGTGGGCAAAACGAGAGGAGATGGCAACCACACTGCTGAGATGAACACGGAACTGTGCACCAGCTGAAAAATCATCACCTTAATTTCTGTAACTCTTCTCAAATACCACAAATATACACACTGAATTTTTGTCTTTTATTGCAGTTGCTCAGAATGACTGATAGCCACTAAGCCCTGAAACAAGTGTACAGTTGAACCACAAAACACTCGTTGCTTTTGCTGGTCTACTTGCCCAGCAC